CAAGGACAAAGATCGTGATTGGGGTTAGACAGAAAGACACATGTAGAAGGAGAGGGATGACATGGATGTGGAGAGAGAGAGAGAGAGAGAGAGAGAGAGAGAGAGAGAGAGAGAGAGAGAGAGAGAGAGAGTGGCAAAGCAAAGTGGATGGCGTGGAGGAAATGAAAGAAATGCACGAGGAGAGGCGGAAGGAGAAAGACAGGCAAGACTCACAAGGAAAAAGATCGTGATTGGGATTAGACAGAAAGACACATGTAGAAGAAGAGGGATGACATGGATGTGGAGAGAGAGAGAGAGAGAGAGAGAGAGAGAGAGAGAGAGAGAGAGAGAGAGAGAGAGAGAGAGAGAGAGAGAGAGAGAGAGAGGGCAAAGCTGGGGGAAGGAGGAAGCGCGGGACATGGGTGGCAGAGCAATAAAAAAATTATGACTCTGGGAGGAGGAGGAAGTGGAACGGGAGGGAAAAACGGGCACACACACGAGGTGGCACACAGGGGAGAGCAAGCAGGACAAAACAGAACATAGGGCCCAGGGTAGATGGATGGAGAGAGCGAGAAGGGGGGAGGGGGTGCACTCCGCCATGCCCACGTACCCGTGTCCCACATGGGGCCACCCGATCCAATCTTGCGCTGTGTAGGCAGGATTGGACCTGGCATGGCGTCGCCACGCCAGGTCCACTTGAGTTTGATAAAGAGAGGACAACAGCGTGTGCAAACAGAAGAGTCAGCTAGGGGATAACAAAGATTGTTACAATGTTACAAGGCATGGTGTGACAAGCAAGTACCAAAAATTCAAACAGTTTCGAGAGTCCAGGTTCAGCCACGACGGCAGGAATTGCTGCTGCCACTGCTGCCTCTGCTACTGCTGGTGGTGGACGTACCTGAGGAGTGACCCATGAAAAAGATTCGCTCTGGGTTTCCATTGTAGAGGCATATATTGTCCATCACCCAAGTAAGAGCCAGCGAGACCTCTTTTATCATGTCATCTGCAAGTACCTGCATTCCGACAGCAACCGGGTTGACAACAACCTTAGAAAAACCAGCAAGTTCCAAATAACACAAAGGCGCAGGTTTGCTAGAGGGATTTCATTGTTTTCAGTCAGAGCTTGCTTTAGCGAATGGGATGAAAGACAAGCAGTGGACCAGTGACAGCTCAGACAGAGGACCTTGGTTGGCTTATGGGTCTCGGGATGAGAAGAGCACATAAGTTTGTTTGGATAACAAGGAGAACCAAGTGAAGAGATAATTGCACTTGATGCTACCTTAAGTTCCTTAAGGATGAGGACGGTGGGTATCCGCGTAGGAAACAGGAACAAAGTATGGTTGGATTTGATCTTACAGTAGCGACAGAGTGGGTAACGACAGTTTGAAGGGATAGTGGCACCTCATCCTATCTTAAGGATGGGGTGGGTGCGTATCCACGTAGGAAACCGGAATATAAGTATGGTTGGATTTGGTTTTAGGGTAACGACAGTGTGTATGTAAATGGGTCCCCATGAGAAGCCAGGAGCGGGTCGGTGGTGAAATAAGAAGATCATGGAGCAGGGCAAACAGTGAAGCCGTATCAGCCATGATGGACAAGGGCGTAGCTCCCGAAACTAACGCATTCAGTCAGGATTCCATCTGTACTCTTGAACTTTTCAGCAACTGGGATTGTGGTAATTGCGACTTGGACAGTAGGGATACCTACTTCAGGTGATCATGCACGCACACAAATTTACAGAATACTTGCGGGGTATAGGCTCTGCTGCAGGTTTCTGGACATCCTAGAGATGGACTTCAGGCAAACGTTAAAGGCAGGAAACAGAAAACCTTAGTAACCCCCACGATTCCTTAACACTACTGTCTTCACCCGAATAGAACGCCCAGTCATTATAGCTGTATTTGGGGCAACTTTCAGTCTAGATACAGAGATAATTACCAGGTGTTCCATTCGGGTCGTGATGCCGGTGCAAAATGACCTTCCGGCCAGGCAAATGGGATCGGAACCAAGAATGCTTGGTTTACTGCCTCTTAATCATGTTGAATTTGAGGAAAGAATGAGGAATATGCTCTGGGATGTCAGAGCCCTCCCACAAAGGTGACGATGGGGTCGAACATCATCATTATCATTCTTTTATGGATCTCTTAATTTGCAGACCGCTTCCTACAGGGCATCAAATCAATGTTTAGGGCTTGGCAGCAACCTGGATCGTCCCAGCAAAGAAACTGATTCAGAGGCTAAGGTGAAATCTATAAAATTGCCATGAATGCGACACAGGCAGCCTCCTGAGGTCCCCCACAGACCCTCCCAGCTCCAAAACAAATTTTCGGGTCTACCGGCCCTCTTCTCTTCTTCCATGAATGTGGATCACTGATCTTACTAGATCAGCGGCACCGATCCACCACCAGTTCTTTTAGGATGCCTTGCGGAGCCAGTGGGACGTTCAAATCCAATCACCTGCCAGGAAATTCTCAAAAAACTCACAGCTTTGTCCATCGCCGCGTGCCTCCAGCAACCCCCCCCCCCCCCAACCATCATCATCGTTGCGCTAAGCCATAGTTGCCATTGTCATAGTGCCCCAACCATCACCGGCGCACTGTCCCGACATGCTCACTATCTGCAAAAGAAGAAGATGATGTAAGTTGTTGTTGTTGTTGCTGCTGTACTTCTTCTTTTCGTTTTTTTTCCCCCCTTTTTTCTGGGCTGATCCCCGGGCCGCCCGGTGGTCTGGCCATCACCCGGGGGGGGTGCCGGGCCGCCTGGCCAGTTGTCGCGCCCGGTTGGCCACCAGGCGCCCCCAGCGCATCACTGTAGGTTAGTTTCTTTTCTTTTTTTTTTTCGGCGCTGGGGCCCTTTTTAACCCCTTCATAGACCGTGTACCGCGAAAAAAAAGAAAAACGGGGCCGGTAGGCCCGATTTCACCGATTTGAAATCGGGCCCCATCTGGATCATCGATATCGAAGATCGACGGCCCAGATTGCACCGATTTCAAATCGGTGAGGGCGGGACCTACCGGCCCCCGTTCCCTCCCCCGTGCTGAAGATGTGCCCCCGGCGTCCCCCCTTCCCTGCCTTGCAGCACTGTGTGTCCGCAGGCCTTCAACGCGCAACTTCAACGCGCTTCTTCGACGCAACCCGCCAGCACCTGCCAACGCCCGCTATCGTGCGTGACCCCACCGTCGCCCGCCAACGGCCGCCTTCAACAAGGTAAGGGACTTAGTTGGGGGGAGAGAGAGAGAGATCTTCTTCTTCTTCTTCTTCTTCTTCTTCTTCTTCTTCTTCTTCTTCGCTTCTTCTTCTTCTTCACTTCTACTTCGCTTCTTCTTCTTCTTCTTTGCCCACGTTTTGAGCCCCCCTTCCCGCCATCCTCCACCACCCGTCTTCTTCTTCTTCTTTCAAGGAAGATGAGCAATAGCGAACTTCAGCAATCAAACAGCATCATACATATGAGTCCAGATAGTCGTGACCTCGAACCAACAGCAGAGTTGCATCACGAGATTCACCAAATAAGAACACACCAAGAGTTCATAATTGACAATGCTGAAATAGTCCCATCATCATCAACGAAGAACCAGAGTTGATATCCTATCGGGCACTCGGCGCCCAGACTACATGTGGCAGATCCTATCTAGCCTATACTACGAAGCCGAAAGATGACGTCAACAGCATTCCCGAAGTACGAGCATATGGCAACCAATGTCGCACGCTTCCAGCACCAGGTGTGTCTCGCGCTACACTCACAACCTCGTTCCCCAACTCAAAGATGCCACTAGCACCCAAGGACCACCCTGCGCCTCACCCAGCTTACAGCAGCGCAGCTCGGCTATGGCTGCGTGCTCCTTCCCTGCTCGCCCGTGAGAGCATAGGCGCCAGCCAACAAATAGCGCAGCAGCAGCGCTTGCGCAGCATGCAGCCAGCACCCGAATGCCGAATGAGGAGGCAGGCCCTTTCCTATATCGAAGTGGCCTGCCTGCGTCCAGTCCCAGGAAGATTCCAGTAGGCCCCGGTAGCCTGAGGCCCAGCACTACAAGAGCAGGCCTTGGGCCTGAAGTGGTTGCATGTGCCCAACTGCCTTCGGCCTGTGTTTGGCCCGGTACCCGTATCCAGCCCAGAGCCTGCTTCACATACATTCACACAGGCGGCCCAGGGCCTGGGTTCACTCAACCAACTGGCGCTGCACAACTGCCTGAATTTTCCTGAGTTGCATGGTGGCCAGACAAGGCCCCTGAGGGCCTCGTCGAGCCTGCCTTCAGTTAGGGCGGCCGACGGGCTGCAAAGATGAGGCCTTATGGGGCTCGTAGAGGCAATGGCCTCGCATTCCCTCCTCCTTAGCTTCAACAGTCCTCTGAGAAGCTCAGTCTTCAATCATAGGGCGCTTTCCCTTCTGCAGAGATCTCTCGTGTTGGGTTACAACTTGAGGAGTGGTCTGCATGAGCTCTTCCCCAGTGAACCAGCGGTCCTCCTTCGGATCAGTGTGATGCCGGAACCGAACGCGGTACTGCAGCTTCGGTTTCGGAGGACGTCCCCTGCCTGCTGGTCTTGATACCGGCAGCTCTCCGTGATCCACAATATCATCGATGTCCACCTCTCCATCCATGGTTGGGGGCAGCATTGAGCGACGAGATGGAAACTGATCAGTATCTTTGAAAGGTGCCAGCTTGGAGGCGTGAAAGACAGGGTAAGTACGGAGATGACCAGGAATCCCGGATAACGTAAGATTGCCCATGCGGATCTGTCCCGACGATGTCCAAGACTTCCCAAGGTCCAAAGTACTGGGGCATGAGTTTGCGGGAAATCCCGTACTCCTGTCCCAGTTCTGAAGACTTAACCCAAACCCTATCCCCAACCTGAAATGTAGAAGGCCGGCGGTGTCAATTTGCAGACTCTATCATTGCTGCTTGTGCCTTTTGCATCTGCTCTACCGCCTGCTGCATTTTCTGTTCATATCTGTAGGCAAACTCTAAAGTACCTGGTGCAGCAGTTGATTGATTCTCAGGAAGGAGAAAGTCAAGGGGTAGTCTCGGCTTGAACGTCAGTAGTAAACTGTTCGCGCTCACCCCAATGGCGCTATGTACAACATTGTTGTACAGGCTGGCGATGAGAGCAAGCTTCTCATCCCAATCCACTTGGTTGGGCTTAATGTAGTGCCTCAACAGGTGTTGCACAGCGCGATTGAGTTGCTCAGCCTGTCCATTGGCCTCTGGGTGATTCCCAGAAGTCATCAACAACTGAGTTCCCTGCTCTGCAGCAGCGGCCTTCCATAACTCGCTGGTAAACCGAACATCCCGTTCGCTGACAATAGACTTCGGTAACCCAAAGTCTCTAACCCAGTTCTCTTTGAACACCCGGATCACATACTTCGTCTTTGTTGTTTCCGGCATTGGTACTAACCTAGCATACTTACTAAATCTATCCACGATAACGAAGATGTGACGCATCCCACTCTTGTTGGTGATCAGAGTATCCATGAAATCCATGGACAGACTCTCACCAGGCCGTTCCGGTATCGGAAGGGGCTTCAGAAGCCCAAGAGGAGCCTGGGTACGTGGCTTGTCCCGTTGGCAAACTTGAAAAGTCTCCACGTACAGCTGGGCATCTCGCATCATCGTGGGCCACCAGAACCGCTGCAGCAAGTTGGCTGCGGTCTTCTTATACCCAAAATGGCCGGTGGCATCATGGCACTCACCTAAAAACAAACTACGCAAAGACTCGCTACTTGGGACACACAATCGTTTATTCCCGTCCTTCTCAAGGAACAGCAAGCCATTGACCAACTCAAACTCGGCAGAGGTCTTCTTGTCCTTTGCCTGAAGTCTGCGTATGATCTCGGACATGAACTGGTCCTCGGGATAGGCTTCCACCAAGGACTGAGTAACATGGTCCGTCAGATTGAACTCAGTAATCAGCGCACCTGAGAAATCAAGTTTACGCGACAAGGCATCCGCAACCTTGTTGTACTCCCCTTTCAGATACTGGGGGTCAAAGTCATATTGCTCAATGACTTCGATCCAACG